TACCACTATGGACTGGGCTAAAAAAGTGGTTGTTCTCAACTCTAGCTCTCTTCTAAAGAGTCAGAGTGTGTCTAGGGTAGGAGAGAGAGAGGTTAGACTCCTGAGTAGCAAGGTGAGCCCGCAGTTGAGGAGAAGGTGCCAGTAAAGGATCAGTGAGATCAGTTTCTCAACTTGGACGATGACTTTGATTTCTCGATTGATAAGGAGACTTATCTCAGGACTGCTAGATAGCTGTTGTTTGTGATTCTGAAGGAGCAGAAGGAGATGAGAAAGAAGATGAGAGAGATGAGGGCTCAAATGAGGGCGTTAGGACAAAGTTCTCAAAGTCATGTAGGCCCCTCATATTAGTTGGGTGATTTCTTCTAGGTCCTAGTGTTTCATTTAGGATGTGAAAAATTCTTCTTTTTTTTAAAATCAAAGCCTAAGATGTTTTGTTAGATTTTGTCTAGGCTAGGCTTGATTTGTTTATGTTTTGAAATATGCAGTGTATGAAACTTTAATATAATAGAAAATGAATATTCTACTTTAGTGAGTGATCAAATATCTAAATAACAGTTTTATACATAATTTGACACTACAATATGAAAATAATTTGTTTAACTTTAAATTTGCAATTTTTTAAGCATCACATAAAACTTTATTTTATGTTTTTATATCTCATATCACGTTCTTATAAAAAATCACAATTTGTACACTTTAGACTTTACCAAGTTGAAAATTTATTAGGTATTTGACCTTGAGAATTTGAAAAATTTATAGTGGAGATGCATTAAACCCTAGTGAGTTTTAATCTAATCTTTCTTGGAGGGTTATTTACATTGACTCAATAAAGAATATTTTTATTCAGTTAATCTCCTTCAATAGTCTCATTATTTTTGTTTTTGTCAACACCAATATTGTGAATGATTGTTTGACTTTAAATTATTTGCATGAGGTATTGTGTTATCAAGAACTCTTGAGATATGATTTTAGGTCATTTTTTATATTATTTGAGCCTAAGCCTTATTGTTTGAATATTATCTCTAGAAGCCGTGATTGAACCTTTGAAGCAAAATTTTATTTCTTATCTAGTGAGATTTGACATTGAGACGAATAGTTGATAGTTGTAGAGGTGATTACCGAATAAATTATTAACTTGGTATAATTAATTCATACTACACATGATTTATATGGAAACATGATAGATGCAATACATTTATATAGCGTACAATTCTATATTTTGCTTTGCATATGCTTATTAAAGGGTTTGCTGTTTAGAATTTTTATATTGTGGTAACAATTTGTATTATAAAATTATTATTCAGATATTTGATGACAGGATGATGTTTGCGGGTATCATTTCTGAAAATCTTCACTAGGCTATACTCGTCTAATAGGGGAAATCTAGGAGTTTAAAAGCTTGTTGCATTTGCTAAATGCAATTGTGAATCCCACGAAAGTGGAGTTATTTTTGTTTACCATACTAGGGACTAGCAAAGTCTGGGTTGGGGGGTGTGATTATGATCCCATAATGTGATTATTTGATGGAAAAGATTAATCATTTGTTCATACAAAGGTGGTAAATGTGATAATTTATTAAAGATTTGTTATTATGATAGTAATGAAAGAATTATGTTTATTTTGCAGGAAAATGATTAAAAAAATTGGAGAGATAAAGGTGGATGAAGAAGAGCAGCTGAGTTAGACTTACTGGAATACGGGTCCAGACAGGGGATTGCTATTGCATCCGGACGGAGTTGACAAAATGAAAAGATGGACGTGCTTTGAAGAATTGGAGCATACTACCAAGTGCGTCCGGATGGTTGAATATGAGCGTTTGATCGTGTGTTGTTAAGGATGCCAATGCCAGTAGTAGAGTTGGATTTCAATTAGATCTTTTCTGAAGGGGAATATATATAAGGAGGGGATAGTTGGGATATGAGTCAGCTTTTGTTTTAGTATTCTTATTTATTTTTTGGTTAAATTTCATGATGTCTGGCTAAGAGGTCTGACTAGGGTTAGGGGAGAATCTCTCAATAAAGTACGGTATTGTTTTGACTTATTGGTTTAATGGTATGCAGTATTTTGTTAATTTAACTTTTGATTATTAGTAAAGTATTTGCTCTGTAAAGATTCTTGAGTCATTGTATCTTATACTTTGATTTCTTGAATTTCTCTACGAGACAAATAACTAGTTATTCCTTACTTAAGTTAATTACAATTTATTTCACATAATAATATAGCTAGAGGATTGTGTGGTTAAGCTAGGAATTCGATTGCTAAGAAAGTTTGATTTATTGTAGACTCCGGGCACAATAAATACTTACAATCGACAATTAGTTCTTTGATTTTTCTGAATAAACCTTTGGTTATAAATAGTGGTGTTTTCTTGTTCTCATTACTAAATTAACTAATTGCAGTCAGTTGACTGTTCGACTCTTATATGAGTTTGAAAACTAAGTCTTTAATCATTACTGTATGAATTTGAGATGGTGTACCTGATGCTATAGTACTTTACATATTGTTTTAATTAATTCATTTACTTATACCAATTCAAACATTCTTTTTGAGAAACATTTTTACAAGTGTGTTAACAGATTTAGTGTGACAACTATTGTTTTTACACTTCCCTGAGGGTTCGACCTCGGTCTTCCGAGTCTATATTATTTCGCACAACCTGCGCTTAGGTTTACATATTTAAAGTTGTAAAAAGTAGTACCTCATAATTGAATGGCGACTCTCTTTGTTGAACCAAAGCATCCATAATCATCGAAGCTTTGCTTTTCACCGTCTCTTTCATATTGCTTAGCTCCTATTGGATCTCTCTAAAACGTCTCTCCCATAATTGATCCCTCCCATTTTGTTGGGGAGGAGCTGGGACGCGCTCATCTCTATGGACTCCTCTGATTTGACTTTGGACCTCATCTTCCTCCCTATTTCCCAAGGCTCTGTGATGCACGTTATCAGTAGAGTGACTGAGATCATTCTCTTTTTGTAGTCTCGTTCAAGAGAATTTGACAATGATATTCCCCATGCGGGGGACCATCCTAGGCTGGTTGTGCTCTCTAGAGATTCTAAGCTCGGATAAGAGTTACTAGATCCTCATTTTGCTTAAGGAGATGCACAAATAAGAGATTCTGCCCTTCTAGTTCGTTGTTTGGAGGGGGATCTACCATTGGCAGATTGTCTTCTGAGTTCAACAGAGGGTTTGCTGGAATTCTCTGTTGTCCCATGACATTGGCTTCTTACTGGTTCTACAAACATAGTAGATTTCTCTGAATTTTGCTTATGTTGCACGTAGAGATCATCAATTACTGAAAGGTCAGTAGAATTTTAGTAGAAATTGAAACAATCGTTCCCATGAATGGTGCCAAACTAATGGTATAATTTGCATAGTTGTGTAGCAAAGCATGAAGCTCAAAATGGGAAAATGGATTGGAGATTTGCAAGGACGTTAATGAAGTTCACTGGAATACACAGTCAAAGCTACTAGGCTTTCGATGGTTAAAAAATCGACACAAGGATAATAATAGAGAATAGAAATTAACAGACAGGGGGTTTTAGTGGCTCACCAACTTGGAAGGTTAGCTAGTCCACTCTAATGGAGTCTCTTGCTCATGAAGGAGTTTTCTATTGCTTGGGGAAGACGATTATAATGCTCTTGAGATTCAATTTACAAATATTCAATCCTCTACAATGTGAGGGATTGATCCCTATTTATAGTGTGTAATAGGCCTGACAATTCTAGACACGACCCCGACACGGATTTAGCGGGTTTGGGTGTAGTCTTAACGGGTTAACTTGTCAGACTCGTGCAATAACCGAACCAATTTCGTGTTTAACCCATAAACTCGTTTCAACCCGTTAACATAAATTTTTTTTAAAAAAGTTAGATCTCTCAACCTCTGTCCCATCTCACAACTCTCATCTCTCAGACTCATTCAAATTTAGTAGTCATTTAATGTTTATTTTTTGCTTAGCCATGATTTATTTTTATAGTAAATAGGTCAAACATGTGTAATGTGTGGCGAGTTGATGATTTTTTGTGTAGACTCGAAATACTCTAACTTTTTCTCTTATTTAGCAGGTGACACATGTGTTGTATTGAGTAACTCGTCTAATAAACGATTCATGTATGGATGTGATAATTGGACTTGTTTATATAAACGAATGAGGTATAAATAGAGTGTTTTTTTGACACAAACCCGATCCAAATGACACAAAACCATTACACTTAACATGATTGCCAGGTCTAGTGTGTAGGAGCATAATCCTTGTGTAATCAGTGTAAACCCTTCAGGATTATTATGACTCATGTGATGGAATACTTAGCCATTGGAGACCACATTCCCTAGACATGATGTGACCTTCCAGAAGGTGTGAGTTGTCGTAGTGTGCACAAGGGTTACATTGGTGTTGATTATTGATTTGTGGTTCCCAAGCTAAGAATCATGAGCTGGGAGGTCTGAGCTTGAGTCACAAGCTAGGGTCACTAGTTGGGTAGCTAGGGATTGGGAGCTCAGCTCGTTCACTCAGCCTTAGTTGTACCGAACTGGAACCTAGATTTTAACGTCATCATGTGAGCTCCTATTAGGGACATGTCTCTAAACTGCTTTTAAGCCGAGCTTGAACTTGAATAATTTTTTGTGTCATCAATTAGAATTTATTCTAGACCATCTCCAATCCAATTCCACTAGGGAGCACTCTTCTAATAATGAGCTATGATTGTTTATAAAAAAAAAAGAATATTTATTTGAAACACTACTTCGCAAATAACATATTCGAAACAAATATTTGTTTGGAAGAGGCCTATTTTATTTGTCATTGTAAAACAAAGAATTTCACCTATAATGTACACAGCCAGAACTCCCACGCTTGATTGTTTGTTACGAGTTACATGACCAGGCTACTCCTCTACTAAAGGAAAGAAATTAATTAAGGATGTTTATTGCTGGATTCTCGCAAAGAATTTTGACTCAGAACTTTTCACACGAGCCCATGCACTTCACAATGATACACAAACCATAGGTTATCCCAACCACAATGCCCTTTTTGGCTCTGAAATTTCAGCAGTTGCTTTAGAGCTTTTTTTTTTTTTACATTTTAATTCCAGAAATTCTGTCTTCCAATCTCTACGCCTACGGCTTCAGAATCTGAAAAGAGCAGAGCAAACTTGCATCCACGTTCATCAGTGCACCGGCATTGTTGAATTCTCCGCAATAATTAGGTGCAGAGAATATGGTTACCAGTTGCCTATCTGCGAAGAATTCATAACCATCTTCAACCACCTAATCAAATGGTTTCCAGGAAATTAAACATTGTTTAGAGCCTGCAATGGCAAGCGTAGTACATTTTTCTTGATATAAAACAAAAAACAGACGTGAAAGTTAAAAATAATAATAATAATAAAGAAGAGAGAGGCACCTGGTGAGCCCGGCATATGAGGTCTAAGTCATGTTTCTTCAAGAACTCAGACACCTTGTCGGCCCCAAATGTATAGGAAACACCTCGATCGTTCTCACCCCAACCTTTTATGTCTCTATCAGGGTCAGCCCAGAGGAGATCGCACAAGAGACCCTGGTCAGGCACATCAACTGGCCTTTCTATAGCTCTAATCTGATCCAAGCTTTCCATATCTGGTGAAAGCCCACCGTGCATGCATAGGATCTTGTCGTCAATTACTGCAGCCACTGGCAAACAGTTGAAGCAATCCGTGAATACTTTCCATAGGCGAATGCTAAAGCGCCGTTTGCACTCATCATAGAATCCATAGATTCGGTTAATGGAAGCACATTCATGGTTTCCTCTCAGAAGGAAGAAGTTATCAGGGAACTTGATCTTATAAGCTAGGAGAAGGCATATGGTCTCTACACTTTGCTTTCCTCTGTCCACATAGTCTCCAAGGAATAAATAGTTAGCGTCAGGTGGAAAACCACCATACTCAAACAGTCGTAGGAGGTCTGGGTACTGGCCATGTATGTCTCCTACAAGCAAAATTTATGTTATATCATCTCTGCCTGGATAAAAGAATGAACTAGAAACCTAAGGAGAAGCTCTTCATTTCAACTGGAATGAAGATATAATTACTAAAAAGGAAGGAGTCGGTGGGAATGGTGGTATATATATTATTGGTTTGACCTGAAATTAATATGAAAGCAAGCTACGATGTGTAGCTAATTAATATAGGAGTAATGTTATAGGAATTTTATTTGGGGATTTAATTTGAGGATCTAATAATGTGGTTTCAATGCAACTATTAGATTAGTTATGAATTTCAATGTTAAGTGGAGCCTACAACCAATTCAATGGTTGTATTGAATTAGATCTCCAAATTAAATTCAAATAGCATTTTCCATTAATATAAGTACCCCTTATCTCTCTTGGCATCCGTTCATTCTAGGAGGAATCCTACAAATATCAGTACTATCATGTGAAATATCACACACACACACACACACATGTTTCCCATTATACCTGACAAGAGTTTACTTCCAATATATTAAGCAAACTAGAAATAGGGTCGCAATCAAGATTTTATTTTGAGGGGGTCAATAATGACATAGATAAAAATTTAATTCAATGGAATTTTTCACCGGTCATTGTCAAGAATAAATTTTTATTTATAAAGAATCTATTAAATTTAATTTTTTTGCAATGACATCACAAAAAATTATTTTTGAGCACAAAACTCAAAAGTGGTTCATGCCATTATAAAACTTTATTTGTGATAATCTTTTTTTTTTCTTGTTTATAATATAATCATATGTTTATAAATAAATCAATGTTTCAAAAAATAGTTTCATATGATACCATAATAAAAATGAATTATAAGTCAATTAATTGTTTTTGATATAAATCATATTTATATTCCTATTTTTTTAATAAAAAAATTCACTTTTTTTTTACATCATCAAACATAATCAAACAAGTGATTTCGTCAAATCAAGCGACACTCATCTATGTGATCCTAAATGATTATTAAATATTAAGTCATTGATATTTTTAAATGAAATACTTAGTGTTTTGAAAAGTTAGATGTTAACAATAAAACTCTTTAAAAATATAGGGGGATTATAAAAATTTTTAAAATTTGAGAGGGAGCCATTGTCTCGACAAGAAGTCTTCCTAAATGGTCAAAGTCGTGTTACTTGTATCACTGTTTTAAAACCCGCCCGGCCCGACGGGTTGCCCCGGTGAACCAATCCCCTAACCGGGTCAATTTTGTAATTAGACCGTTTGAGCAAAGAATCAGTCAAAAAATCGATAACCCGTGAAAATCGGACCGGGTTTACAAAACCGGCCGATTTTGTTCCTTTAGTATAAATATGTTTTTTTTTAACATTTTTGTGTCTTTTTCTTTTCCCCTTCTGTTTTACCCTAAATCCTAAATCATTCGTTCAGCGTTTGTTAACTCAAAAATTAAGTGAATGCAATTAAGTGATTCAAGTTTGAGGGTGGAGGCTGGGCTGTTAATTGAATGCAATTAAGTGATTCAGGCTTGATAACTTTGTTTGATTTAATATATATTAAACATGTTATTTTTATAATTATTTTAATTTTTTAATCTATTTATTATCATTAATAATTTTTTTTATTTTTTTATTATATCACCGGTTCGACCAGTGACCTTGGTTCAACCAAAAATCTATTGACTCAGTCTCTTCTCCGGGTTGGTATCCGGGCCGGATTTTAAATCTATGACTTGTATATACTTATCTACAATACAAAATTGACCAATTAACCTGAATCTTTTCTTGTCTATAATAGTAACAACGGCATGTAAAGTTTTTTTTTTTATTATTCATTTATTAAACAATGTTGACAGAGCGAAGCAAAAATTCGTGGTACCTTGAAATAAAGACTTGATAAAAAAAAAACGAAGAACAAAAGCAAGGACAAAAATGGTGCAATCATCTGATTCTGAAGACGAATGCAAGAACAATGGCCAGTACAACTACTTGGATCTTGAAATGAAAAGCATAAAAATAAGGTGGAAAAACTTTGAAGGAGGTGCTCGAAGAAAAAGAGAACTGATCTCTTGGCGCTAATTAAGCATTTCTAGGCTGGTTGTTTTCCTATCCGTTTGAAAATGAACAACGATATAAATAATTCTATGACCGTGTAATTTTGTTGTGTAAATTTTGGAGAAAAGGGATGGAAGAACTCACCACAAACGTTAATTGGAGCTTCAAGCTCCAAGAGGTTAGGCTGGCTGAGGAAGACATCCTTGGCGTTGATGCAAAGATGGCGAATCTCGGACTCCGCCAGCTGAATCTTCTTCCCTCTATTCTTTCTCCCTTCTAACAACCTACCTATTACTCCATCCAATTCCAACCCCTCCATTAATTAGCCAACTCCCACCACTCACCCTCTTCGATTGATGATATTTGCTTACAATTGGATTTACTTACCAATAAGGACGATATACCAGGAGGTGAAGAACGAAACATACAAGTTAGAGAGAGAGAGAGAGAGAGCGCAAATGAACCGCGGGGGTTGGAGATATATTTGGCAAGTGAATTTAATCTGTTACAATATATGAGGGTGAGGAAAGGAGTAATCACACCCCTTCCTCCTTTCCCGGATTTTCCTTGGGCATACATACATACCATATATTTAGGGAAAAAATAAATAAAAATAAAAATAAAAATACTTCCATCAACCTCCTATCTAAAAATTTTTTGACTGGAATTAAGATTTTTGTATCCACACCTAATGAGAAGTTGTCACATCACAACATTAATTTGTCAAACATATAAATAAGCAGAGTTTTTTCAAAAAAAAAATCTGAGTGATGACAATTGTTGAAAATTTACAATTGGTTAGACCCACCACCCAATTTGAGTTTCTGAACAGATCATTGCACTTGACAGAGGCCAGCTCCCTTCAAAGCCTTTCTGGAAGTGTCTGTTTGGTGCACAGTTGTTATAAATACCCACCGGACCTCCCTCAAATTTGCTCTCCCCTTGCCTAATTCACTAGACATACATAATTTTTTTTTAACAAATTATTTGGACATAAAATATTAAATTAAAGGAATATTCAGTATATTGATACTTGCCAGTCTCAAGTTACCGTAGAAATGTCATGTGTCAGAATCTGAAAAAATACAGAAGATGATTAATCACAACCATATTTGAAAAAGAAAAAATAGCTAATTGAGAGTTACCAGCCAATAACCATCGATAAGAGTAAAGTTGTCGCATGCAGTGGCTATAAAAGGGCATTTAGTAGAGAAGATGAAGGATATACTCAAAATCCCAAAAGATCTACAATTTTGACACTATTAGGAGTATTTTATAATAGTTTTATAATGCAATTAGTACTATAATTAAGGCTATTTATTCAATTTTTTTATAACTGAAGTCCTTTCTATTGAATTAATAAAGAAATTCTCTTTTATTAGTTCTCTACACAGTGTAATTATTCATTGTTTTTTTCATCCAAGTCTTGAAATAAAGTATTTGAACCCTTTATAAATAATCGCCTAAAAATTATCTATTGCTTAAGATATCTATGTCGATACTAACAAATTTTGGAGCAACAATCTTTTGTCACGTCTGGTGGGACAAAATTACTAAATTGGATCAAAAAATGATTTGAATAAGAAAGCAACATAAGATCGTTTTTGGCACTAATGAAACTGTGAAAATAATGTCAAATAGTGTCAATCGTGAAACAAGTTCAAATACCTACTGATTAACCATCAAAATTGCTATTTTATTATATTTAATGATTGGTTAATTGCATATTATTTGTGATTAAATGTGTTAAATTTCTTAATTTTCTAATTTGATACTTTTTCTAGTTGTTTGGTTTATTTTGCAGGTAAATTGGTTGATTTAAAGTAATAATGAATTTTGTAAGTGAATCAACCACTAGAGGAATAATCACAATTGATAAAGATTGAAGAGTCAAGATTGAAATAGGAAGACTTGAATATATGACAACAATTTAATCCTTATAAGAGTCCAAGTTGAAAGAAAACTCATTTACAGTTGGATTAGGAAAGTATCCTAAAAGATAAGGATTGGACACGTTTTCAGTATTTTGGTCATAACTTTTGACTCTGATATCCGATTTACTTAATTGTTGGGGGTTAAGAAGAAGACTTCAAGGGTTACAAAAGTGTATTTCACGAAATTTTCGTTATTCAACCACTAAATATGGGAAATTGAAGCTCGAAGTCTGGACAAATTTTGTAATTGAGCCCCAAAGATTTTATGCACGAGATTTAACCTTACAAAACTTTTTTTTTAGAAAGGAATTCCTTCCAAACCAACCTTATATTTTCAATCTATACTTAGGATTTATTTTTAGTATAAATAGGGGTTCTCGTTTAGGATTATGATTATTCTTTTTCTCATCTTTTTATTTTGATTTTTAGTTCATCATCTCTGGCTAAAAGGCTAAGCTAGGCTAGGGCTAGGAGAGAACCTCTTAATGAAGTACGGTAATGTTATTGATTCTGATTTTAATGATTTATGATGTTTTGTTAATTTAACTTATAATCTGTTAGCAAAGTTTTTGCTCTGTAAAAATCTTTGAGTCGTTGTGTCATGTACATTGATTGTTTGAATTTCTCTGCGAATAAATAACTGGTTATTCCACGCTTGAGGTAATTATCATTATTTTATAAAATAATATAATTGGATGATTATTCAGGTTCCTCAATAATCTTTTGATTATAACTTTTAGTTTTCTTACTTGATTTATTATTCAAATCAACCGACATCTGATTCTTATTTCAATTTAAGTTTTAAATCCTTAATCATTATTGTATGGAATTGAGAGAGAGTATTTGATGCTCTAGTATTTTTATTACTGTTTTAATTATTAAAATCAATTTTCTCCGTTCAACAATTCTTTAAATAAATCATTTACTTTTAAATTTGTTTTAGTATTTGTGTGACTACTTTCTTGTTCAAATTCCTTGAGGGTTCAACCTCGGTCTTCCGAGAATTAAATTATTTTGCTCAACCTACGCATAGGTTTACAATATTAAAGTTAAAGCAAATTTTTGGTGTCGTTGCCGGGGAATTGTTTGACAAGGAGCCATCACATCTATTGAGGTTTGCCAAATTTGAAATTAGTCATAGATCTGGTAATCTCGTCCCTTTTTTTATTATTTGTTTTATTTTTCCTTAGGTTACATATTTCATAATTTTTATTTTTATTTTTATATTTTTTAATGTGGTGTGAATATTTTCCCCGATGGAGCAACTGCATATGCTTTGTGATGTATATGGGCATCCCATTGAGGTTTGCCCTTTAATTCCAAATGCTTGACAATATTTGAGGAATGAGACAATTGTATTACGTAATTCTTCTCAACTTGTAAACCCCCACATGTCTAAACTATTAACAATCGTCCAATTAGCTTTGTTTTGCATTTAACATCTCAATTTACATCCTAAATCAAAATATAAGAATAATAAGTATATTTAGGCTCCAAATAAGTATAAAAGGCTAAATATTAAAAGAGAAAAAAAATGATATTTTGCATTCTCATCAATTAGCTAACTTAGAGGAATTGAAGAAAAATGTTGATGGATATACTAGTTTTACATCATGTTGTTATAAATGATTCTAGGAGACGAATGGTAATTTAGTTTTGATTAATGAATGATGCTAGACATGGATCTTTATGCAAACCATACTATCTATATTGGAGATGAGTATGAGATATAATTTGTGATAAAAGACACCCAAACTCGAGTTAAACAAGTATAGAAGAACCAAGCAGTCCGGCAGACTACCTTTCACCAATTTGATCATAACTCTTTGTTGGAAAGTCCAAATTGTGCACCGTTATTGTTGTTAGACCCCTAACTCGTATATCTTTTCAACCATATAGATCACACATACTAGAAATACCTAAGTCAAATCAATTTATTCTCCAAAGTTGATCAAAAATTTGTACTGTGGTGTTCCTTAGATGGTAAAATGTTGTGCTTTCTTCTTAGACTTGGAAGGTGTAAACCCTCACATGTTTATATTAATATAGTAATGTACTTTTTTAGTGATTCTTATATATGTAATAACATAAGAATAAATTATATATATTGAAACCATAAGAATAAATACTACGGAGAAATAAAATAGTAATTTTAATGTTTCGAGTGTAAATTTATTTTAATTTTGAAATAAATCATAAAAATAAATTATTTTAGGTTAAAATAACATTAAAAATGAATCCGAAACGTCGAAAAATCTTAGGGTAGTCATATGGATCAAATTGAAGATTCTTAGTGGTAAAATCGTAATTTTGAAGAAACCAAAAACGGCCTGTGAACAGTAAAAATCGGGGCTGCTGTGTTTAAAAATCTATTTTCATCTCATTTACTCTCATTCTCTTCACTCCACTCTCACCCCACACCTCTTGAAACCTTAAAGGAAGATTAAGGAAGAAAGAAAAAGAAAGAAGGAGGTCACTAGAGCTTGAGTTCTTGCTTGAAATTTTGATTCAAGTAGGAGTTTCTCTCACTCTTGTTCATTGATGTTTGATATTCTTGCAAATATTATCATGTTTAAAATAAGGTTATGGTTGGATTGCCAAAAAACCTCTATTTCTTGTTTTGAAAACCCTTGTTCTCATGCGAGATAAATTTTTCTTTCAATATTCTTTTGTTCTTGATTTCTAAAACTTTAGTGCTTTGTGTTGAGTAATAAATGATGTTGTTGTGATCTTTTGTATTTTTTCTTATTTGGTTATTAAAATTGTTACATGATAAATTTGAGAATTTTTGAGATATGCTTGTAAAATGAGAAATTGTGGATTTTGCAATTATTTGGAATTGTTGGTGAATTAAGAATATTTTGATTTTCTCATTTGTATGGTTGTTGTGGTGGACTTGGATTGCCATCAAGAGATATCGTAGAGTGTTAGAGGTTAGTCTATCCCAGTGGGGGTGAGATGGTTTACTAACACTTGTAGTGGATTGTCATTTGGTAATGCGACCACTATTGTTCACTGGAGTTCGAACAAGAGATGGTATATTTTTCCTGAGAAGGGACTCGTCATTGCCATTGGGATGGTAGACGCTCTTTCTCCTAAAGTGCTTGTGATTGTGATTGTGATTGGTGGACTAGGTATAATCGTTAGGTAGATTCATGAGAACCAATCGACATACATAATAAGGGGATGAACCAATATACATGGGATGATGGTTTGGATTGTCTTGCCAGTGCATTGGTATGGGACAATGCATCGGAAGGCGCCCTTCTTAAATGGTTTAAAGTTAAAAATTGTATATTGTTGTGAAATTTACTTTATCTTTTCACTTGATTATTGTTACAACTTAAACTTGGGATCTATTTAAAATGTCTTATTTTTCCTTCAA